AGGGTGATCTTATAGCCTTTATGTTTTAATGACTCATGCGCTGTGGCATCCCATATATACATCATGGTATGTGACATAGAGCCATTTTCTTTTGTTTTTCTACCTTCTTGAGCTGTAGATGTCTCAACTCAGCTTTAGATCCAATCTTATGGTTAAAACCATAACCTAAAACATTCATTAACTCTTTATAACTACACGCCACATTAATTTTCTTAATTGTCCTTGTTTAATTTAATTAATTAAGGCAAATTTTGAGGATGGTATGTATATGGTGTTGGGTGGATGTTGTATATGCATGTGTTGAGTTGTTGATGTGAAATGGTTGTTTGGAATGGGTTTGAGTTGGTCAAGTGTACTACACATTAGCTATGAACTCTGGTTTTAGGTTTGTGAAGTGTAAAAGTGTGTTTTGTCTCTAAAAAGGATTTTGTGAGTAAAATCCTCATTTGAAATTTTTTTTATACCAAACTAAAACCATTAGTTGGATCTTTTAATAAGCTTTGTGTGGATGCTGAATTACTCAATTTGAATATTTGTAGAGAAAGTTATGTTGATTTGAAGTTCGTTGTCACTGTTCATGTTGTTATTATGCTGATACGGCATCGTGCACCGAGACATATGTTGCGTATACTAGACATATGTCATAGAGATAGAGGGTGAATTTCTCTCTATGCGATATGTCTAACATATGGCACGTATGTCGTGACATGTGGTGTAAATTTTTTAAAATTGTCATTGTTATGTTTTTCCCTTTTGAAATGGCTCCTTTGACCCTTTAAGTTATTTTTGGATAGTTTTATTGATTTTAAACTATTGACTTTCAATATGACCCCATTATGGAGAAATACTTAGGTAGATCGGGTGCATTACATTATTTGTAGTCTGTCCAATTAAAATGCTCTAAGTAATCTAAATAAATCTCATATAACATTTTTTAAATTGATTTTATTCTTATAACAGAATGCATATTTGATTTCTTATCTATTCTCTCTTTATTATCATTAATATCATAATTAATTTATATATAATGTCATTTGAAAGTCATGTTTTTATTAGACAGACCACAAATAATGAGGTACACTTGATGTACCTAAGAATTTCTCTCCCATTAGGTGCAAATTAATTAACTTATCGTACTGATTGTTTTTTCTTATATATGCTGCTTGTTTCCAAAATTATCATGGTAAGTTTTATGCGTTTAGTTTCTTCTCCTTTGGTAGATCTTTTTCTATCATGATAGTCTAATTTGAGAAATATTTTATAGTAGAAAGACTTTTTCTGCCTTGGTATACTTTTGTGAAATGATTTTAATTCTTAATTACTATAATAGCCCTTCTTCTACCATGATAGGATTTCAAAATATTATTTAAAGGCTTTTTCGTACCCATGGTAAACCTTTATTTACTATAGTAGTGTTTTGAAAAGTAAGGTTTTACTCTTTATTAATATAATAGATTATTTTCTATCATGATATATATTTAATGGAGAAAGTTTGTTGTGAAATTATATAATTTATGAAAAATTGGTGTAAATTTTAGAGTGTTATACCTTCATATTTTTGTTTAAAATAGAGAAAATAGCAATCAAGAACTTTTGTATGAAATTATATTTGTCGAGAATTAGTTATTATCAAAATTTGAATGGATATTTGCCTATTTAGATTAGCCTTTTATCAACAAGTATTCATTTAGATTTTAATAATAACTTATTTTAAATTAACAACAGTGTATTCATGCTTATTTTTTATTCAGGTTTTGATAACAATTAATTTTTAATTGATATAAATTTCATACACAAGATTGCTATTTTTCCTTTTTCTATAAGTTGAAAATTGCATTTTATTTTCATAAATTTATGTAAAATGTGTAGAGACACATGTAAGTTATTCAGTATATATAAATGTATTCCACATGAAGATTAATATCATCAATATATATATATATACAAATCTTGTAGCTTTAATTTGATTGGTAAAAAAATTTGACTCTCATTGATTAATGGATTTTAGGTTAATGTTAATATCAAAGTTTCTCTTAATTCATTAATGTGATTTAATTTATTTTCTATTTTTTATACATTTTCAGTCTACTTTCACAAAAGTATTTAATAAGATTTAATTTATTTTTTTATTTTTTATGTATTTTCAATTTACTTTGATGGGAGCATTTAATGAAATTTAATTTATTTTTCATGCATTTCAACTTACTTTCACAGGAGCATTGATTCAAGAGCAGCCTCATTTTGTTAAAAAATTGACTCTTATTAGTTAATAGATTTTAAGTTGATATTAACATAAAAATTTCTCTTGATTCATTAATAAGACTTAATTTATTTTTTTATGTATTTTCAATCTACTTTCATGAGAGCATTAATTTAAAAATAGTCCTATTTTTAAATTTTCTCAATTATTAGCATTAGCTCTTATCATTTGGCATTTGTTATACTTTCTCATGCCTTTTAAATTTTCCTGATCAATGGAATTTAATTTTTTTTCTTATTTTTCATGTACTTTCTTAATTCATTGTACTCAATATCAATTAACTCTTATTATTCATCTATAAACATTATCTGTAAAAAGAAAAAAAGAAAATAAAAAAAAGTTTAAGTTTGATATGGATCATCAATCCTTATCTTATGGTCTAGACCCTTCAAATTGTGGATGTTTTGCCATATATTGCTCGTTGACAAAATAACGTGGCGACTATTTAAGTATTCTAAGCAGGAAAAATTTGAGTGGTAAATTTATCTTTTTGATAGTCCTTTTGTTTTACACATAAAAAAAGAAGAATATAAACCAACAAATACGAAAGAATCAAATACAATTTTTTTTTTTAAGAAGAGTGATCCTTTTAGATTCTTTCTTATATACATATGTATGGAAATACAATTTATGTTACAATTCATAAACTAGTGTCTACTTTTCTTATGTAATAAAAAAGAGGAGTTATGGATAATTCTAAAGAAATAATTTTTTTGGGCCAATATTCTTTGAGCATTCTAAAAACATGTATTTTTTAGACAGGCTTTTTGCTATTGATTCAAGAAATAAAGACAAAATGTGTGCAGATAAAATTTTTAAAAAGGAAAATGATTATAGAGAAATTTTAATTAACCAATGTGTCATAATTTATATTGATAATAACTTGTGTAATGCATGAGAAATTATTTAATTACAATTATAATTGTACACACTCGGAGGATAATCATCATATTATATTGGATCTGATTTTTATGCGTTTCAAGGTCAGACATCACAGACATACACAAGATTTTTATTTTAAAAATATGATCAATTGAGTAATAAAAATATTTTTCAACTACAGATGACATATGTTGTTCAAAAAAAAAAAAAAACTACAGATGATATATGGTGTTTCGTGCAGCGTTCATTCCTCTAATATTTAAATTTTGTAATGCACGTGAAGGGAAAAATTTAAAATATAAATTAGATTAGAGTTCTACCGAGCGTATTAAAATATGTGGAAAATATTAAAAAGTGAAGAATGCACAAAACAGAAAAAGTATTTTATAAATTGCTGATACTGTATTTATTAAAATTTTTTATATTAATAATATATTACTGTCAAACGATTACTACTTTCTATATTTAGTATTCCGTGCGAACCCTCAGTTTTACCAGCCAACCTTGTAAAGAAATCTATCTAACTTCAATTAATAAAACTGGTCTCCGAGGCTGGACATGATTGAAATGCTAGCTAGCATGTGATGAAATCCAACTTCAAAATATAAGCACAGCGTAACCAAGGATGCATTTATAAAATATTTGAAGAATATATCTAATATGTATTTAATTAAATTTAAGAATTTTTGTATATTTATAAGGTAATTTAAGCATATAATTTCTTTGTAATTTGCATCGGTTTGCCATTGTAGTTCTACAGCGCCATCGATGCAATTATTTTTTTATAAATTAAAATTGCTTTAAAAATTAATTTTTAATAGCATAAATACAAATAAAAATTACATTTTATATTTTAGATTTTTAAAATTTAAATTTTACTCTTTTATTTAAAAATATAAGATATTTTTTTGAGAAGTTTGATATTAAAAAATATAAGATATTTTTAGTATTTGAAAGTATAATTAGTGTGTTTTTTTTACAAATATCCAGAACAAATAAATAATTTTATATTTATTTTAAAATAAAAAATCATGTTAAATTATGGTAAGTATAAAAATATGGTATTAATTTAAATTTTAAAGGTAATTGACTACTTTATTAAAGTATAAAATTCAGTTAAAAATATTTTATATTTTTAAAAATAAAATATTAGTTTCATATTTTGTATAATAAATTGTGTGAAAAATAAAATAAATTATTTTTTATATTTCTATATTCTAATGATTAAAATTTTTTATATTATACTAGGAATAAAATAATTTAGATAATAATAGCTGTTAAAAAAATTTAAAAATATAATTTTTTTACTTGTTATTTTAAAAAATTAATAAATTTAATTTTTACTTTTCTCTCTTCTATTTCTCTGCAACAATGTGATTAAAGTACATGGTTAAAAAATTTAGTTATTTAAAAAAGGATTTTACGAAATAATGATAATATAGTATAATGATAGTAATAAAGCTAAATATCATTAGTCATACACTGTCTTTAGTCATACGACGGTTAATGTTACTTTTCCCTCGTTTTTTCTCCTGCGACAGCAGTACTTTTTCGGGGGGGGGGGGGAATAGACAGCATTGCTTTTTCTTTTTAATTTTTTGAACACATTGCTTTTTCAGTTTTTCTTGATTGGCTTAAAAAAGTTACTTTTCCTAGTTATTTAACTTATTATCGCCACGGGCCCACTCTTCAGAGAGAAAAAGGAGCCAGGTGCCCGCCGCACGAAAGCGAGAGCGCCAGAACGCCCTATATCCCCGCGAGTTGGCGCCCGACCCGATCTGACATAATTTTAATAATTAATCAATTCCACCTGTCACCTGAGAATATTTTTAATTTTTCTACGCTCCAAAACCCTAAACCCTCTCATTTTCACTGCACTTGCATTATTGCACTAAAAAATCTTACCATTTTGGCAGCGATTGCAAATCCGCAATGCAACTTGGGCAAGCTCCGGTGGACTTTCGTCGTCAGCCGTGATCCCTGCGGACTTGAAGATGATAAACCTCCTTTTGTTCATCTGTCTTCTCCTGGGACTAGGAGGGTCGTTGGAGAAGTCTACATCCTATGCTGGTTCTGGCCCTCACATTGCAGATGTTAATATACTCTTGCCACCGAAAATGACTTACCCTGTGGTGTACAGGCTACAAGGAAGCGATGGTTGCTTCAAATGGTTGGCTTTCATCTCGTTCCCTTTATTATTCTAAGTAATTAATCACTTTTGGATTTTGTTTTCTTTTTTAGTACAATGCAGTTTAGTATAGACTATATTATTCGACTTTGGTTCTGCAAGCTTGTTCTGCTGATCGTACAAGAATGGGTAGAGTATATCTTTAATACCAGCCTTGGCAACAGTTTTATGAAAGTTGCAACAGTACATACCGGGTAATACATGCTATGGAATGCTATTGATAAGTATGCAGCGTAACAAATGGCTATAAGTTATATGGCAGCTTGAACACTAATAGCTTAATTGTTTAATGATTATCAGCCTTGTATAGTTTGTAAATTGGCTGATCTTAATCCTACTCAGCTACCCCATAACAAATAGTTCCAATTTGATTGGCATGATTATTGACTTAAAATCAACCCATTTGATCTATTACATGTTCACGGTTAGAAAACTCCAGGGAACTTAATTATACATAAATATAATGTGAATTTCGCAATTTAATGGTGAAACTTTGTTCTCTGCTCTCGTTCACATTTTGCAAAGTGGAAAAAAACCAGTCAGTCGTGAGATATTTCAAGCCGTAGAACAACTGAAGCATAATCCAATTACAGATAAGGTCAAATAGGCATAGTTCAACCCATTTTGACTTAATTCAATGGGTGAGTACTCCAACCGTCTCCTTGCTGGCAGATTTCTTCCTGCCATTTTTTTTTAATTGAATCCAAAGGGTCCCTCAACGCAACAATACTTAGGTATTATTCACGTATTTTACGTTGTTTAGCAATAAGTTATATCTATAATGGGCTTTTTGGCATGCTTTGAGAAGGTTTCTTCTCAGGGTTTGGACATATTTTTGTTGATTTAGATCTAGATGATTTTGCAGAAGTAAATGAAGCAAGACTTTGTGCAAGTGTGCATATTGCTTCTATTTGGTCATTAAGTTGGTATGCAAGTAATGCTTCAACTTTTTCAAACAGTTTTCTTTCTTGTCCCCTAATATTGTATATGACCTTTTACTTGGCCACTATTTGGTGCTTAACTTTTAAGCATTTTCAAGGAGTTTCTTTGCTAATATGCAGGGTGGACTAAAGGCTCTGCATTGATGATATTTTCCTCTGCCAGTTTTGCTCTTATTTGCATTTGTTTTCGAAGTGGATATTGTCAAGGACAACTTCATCTCAAAAGTTTATACTATACAAGAAGGCCAAGAAGTAGTTTTGATACATATCTCTATCATGCTTCTTCACCCAGAAGTCCTTTGGGCTTAAGAGTGAAAAAAACATTGGTTCACTTCACCTTCACCTTAAGTAGAAATTAATGAGGAGAATGAAAGTATAAGGATTGAATTTCATACCATTTATTCATGAGGGTTATGGTACCATGTCATGGACTGTTTCCTAAAAGCTTTAGCTCAAGAATGGTTTGATATGTATCTCTAACGTATACTATATCCTCCATAAACGCACTTCCTTTCTCAGAAACAATATATTGTACCCCCCTGATATTTTACATTTCCTTATTAATTTTATAGGTCATGGGATCATCATGATATTTTATCTGTTGTACCTGAATACAATTCAAGCAGCCATTGCTCAACCAGTGCAAGCCTGAGATCAATTGCCCCATATAGTGGTCGAAAGGAGACTGCTGTTTATGCTGCAGATGTGCATACTGGAATTATGATTCGATGCAAAGTCTTCATTGACAATATATCCAGAATCCAGATATTTCATAATTCCATTAAGCTTGATTTAGATGGGCTTGCCACACTTCGTGTCCGTGCCTTTGATAGTGAAGGTATTCATAAATTTTTTATGTCTTTACGGGTAGGGGTAATTTAAATGCTAATGTGTGTATGAGTGGGTGCTTTAAATGATCACATTTTTATTAAGACGCATTATTTTATTGCCTTCACAAAGTTATTTACTTGAAGCATGCTTTGTTTTTTTCCCTTTAAAAATTAAAAACAACCTTTCAATGAATGATAGAAAGCATCTCATTACAGGATTGACATAAAAAGTATAGATTGGTTCATCTTGCTTTTTTTTTGAACGCATCATGCTGCCTCTTGGTTATTTTTTAAAGCCAAATATTTGCAACTAATTTCAATTTCCGCCTTTTTTCCTCATTATTATTTTTGGAGAATTCAGCATATTTATATCATTAGTCTACTGTACTGCAGAAAATGTATTTTCTTCGTTGGTTGGCTTACAGTTCATGTGGCGCCTCATTCCTGAAGCCAATAAACTGCCTCATCACCTTGTCAATGTTCCTCTAAAGGATTCCCCCCTTAGTGATTGTGGAGGACTCTGTGGGGACCTAGATATACAAATAAAACTTGAGGACAATGTAAGTCTGATGCTAGCAGGTTTAAATGAGTTAAGCCACCATGCTATAATGCTCACATGGTTATTTTACCATTTTATCTGGTCTTGTGGTGCAGGGTGTATTTTCTGATATATTTGTGGTGAAGGGAAATGAGATTGGCCACGAGAATGTTTCAGTGCAATTGATTGAGCCACAGTTTAAGAATTTGGCTGATCAGATTGTTCTAACTGTGGCAGAAGCTATGTCACTGGATCCTCCTTCACCAGTTTTTGTTCTTATTGGTGCTCTAATTCCCTATACCCTTAAAGTCATCCGTGGAAATGTTCCTCAAGGTTTTGTTTTTTAAATTATTTTTTTTGGGTTTTAATTTTCATAGCAATCTTCTAAAATTGTAATCTTATGGTTGTGAGATTATGATTTATGTTGTCAAAACATAGCTGCTAAAATTGTTTGTTATTTATAGATTGGGGATTCTTGTTTTGCTGTCATTTTAAGGATGATTTTTGTCTTCCTCCCATGAACTTTTCTTCTTGCTTTTAATAATCAATCATCAATACCAATGCCAACAAACCTTATCCGACCATATTATAGGAAGCCACACAATTCATAAACCATAACATTCGCTTTTTGCCTTTGACCAGGATTGATGTGAGGTTTTTTTCTTGCAAACAGTGTTACAAAATTGATGAGTGATGACCATATTGGCAATTTCAAAGATGATTTGTGTCTTTGACTGGGATTAATGCAAGGGTGTTTTTTTATTAACTATTATTCCACTTTTACTTTGAAGGTTTGACCATTAATTTGCAAACTTGTCCTTGCCAGTTTCTTTTATGTTTTTAGTGGTCTTTACCAGTACTTTTTATGGCACTTGCAGTGGTCATTTTACCTTCAGCACATCATATCTGGTCAGTGTCAAATACATCGATTGCTGAGGTTGACACTATGATGGGGTTAGTACGTGCGCAAAACTTGGGAATGACCACTGTCATTGCTGAAGATACAAGAGTTGCTGGTCATGTACAAGTGTCTTCGCTGAATGTGGTCCTGCCAGATTCTCTGTGTTTATATATAACACCTTTATCTAGTTCTGGTCACCTTGTTGAAGGAATTAATCCCATTCCTTCAATGGTCCGTTGGTACGTTATATCTGGTCATCAATATCTCATCCAGATGAAGGTTTTTGCTCATGGTCCTGATGCACAAGAGATTTATATTACAGAGGTAGCATGTATTATCCTACTTTTATTATTTGTTAACATTGGCAAAGCTCTTTTGTATTGAAAAGTTAATTTTCTTCTCTGGTTTGCATGTATCCTCTTTATTTCAAATCTGGAATATCTAGAATGAGGGACTACTTGCATGTTTAATGTCCTGAATTCCATTTTGTCCTGACATTTATTCTGTTGAATTTCAAAGGCCTCTGCCTGCACAAGTTGGCTAGTTATCCTCTCAGGTCTCTCCTCAAAATGGGAAATTGACTTTTGGTTTCAACTAGTTTCAGCTGTAGCCTCATATTCTGATTTTCCAGCATGCTGTAGCTATAAAAGTGAAATTATCCATGACTGTGGTAGTCCAGGAGTGGTATTTTACTCTTATACCTGTCTATATATTTCCAATAATAATATTCATAATTTGTTAGATCTACTATGGCATTTTCTTATGAGACTAACTGCCTCATAAAATAGGTCATTTTATAGTTTATAAAAACGTTGCTTGCAATATTGGTAAGATAAAATTTTTGGAGAAAACAATGCATTAATAATAGTATTGTAGTATATCATTCCATGATTTTGTAAATTTACTTATTTAATTTATTTTATCTACATGACTAGTGCATGAGTAAAATTTTTGTTTGTTGTGCATGATAATTTAGGCTCCTTTCCTAATGATGGCTTAAGTAGTTGGATAAATGGTAATTCATATTATAGGAGCCTGGTAACCTCCTCCATCTGCAATGGAGGGAATTCCCTGGAGGGAAAAGCTTTCAATGGGGATAATGCTCAACAGATGAAGTTCTCACAATTTTAGGCTTAAGCAGTTGGATAAGTGGTAATTCATATTATAGGAGCCAGATAACCTCCTCCACATGCAATGGAGGAAATTCCCTGGAGGGAAAAGCTTTCAATGGGGATAATGCTCAACAGATGAAGTTCTCACAATTTGTTGATGCATCTCTTTCAGCAAGATCTTGTCATCTAACAAAAAACTCCTGTTACCCCCCTGCAAACTGCTACGTATCAAATAAATGGAAGGATCTCTCTATGCCGCTTTGTTACTTCCTCAATGATGGCTCATAAAATTTTGAGGAAGACAAGTTGATCTTTTCCTTTCTTTCCTCTGTGAAAAGAGAATTATGTCCTAACATTTCAATATTATCTTTGTTTTTTCAAATTTAATCTGTCAGAGGTCAAGCATTGGAGGTAAATTAACCCTCCCTATCAAAGGGCATGGTTTAATCCAGGCAATTCATAATCCTAACTCTTCCATACTGACTCTGGCCTATGTATGCACAAAAATGCAGTAGTGCCTTCCGTCATCATTGTTTTGAGTTACTTTGACTAGTCTTACTTCTGCTTTATGTATGAAATATCTTGACTAATCCTCTCGTGTAAATTGTTAACTTGCTTTTCCTCTAATTGTTGTTTACTTACAGGATTCTTCCTCTCAATGCAGAATGATGATGTTAAGATATATGATGATCAGTCTGATTATGGGAAGACATTTTGGGTTTTGAATGGTATTGCTGTCGAACATGGTTGGCGAAATTCTAAGGTGTTGAAAGCATATTCACCAGGACTTGGAAAGTTGACAGCTTCTTTGAGCTATCTTAATGGGCATGTTGACAGTAAGGAGGTCATGACTATTTCTTCTAATTCTTTTATATTTTTCTTCAATTCCTTTACTTAGTTCAACCACTTTTTTCTTGATGAGCCTCATTTTGGTCTTATCTGCAACTATTTTATGCATACTCTAATCTATCACTATTTTTTCTTTTTTGTTTGTGAATGTAGAGAGGGTTTGTGTTTCTTGATTGTAGACTAAGCAGCCTCCTATATAACATTCTAATCTGTCACTGTTGTAGGGTGGGTTTGTGTTTTTTTGATGGAAAGGATTTCTCACTTGCTTATTTAAATCTTTTAGGTTATCAAGGTTGTGCAGGAGATCATGGTTTGTGATCAAGTAAGGGTCAGGTTGAGTGGTGAAAGTGATCAGCCACGAAGCATCCTTCTGCCCTGGGTCCCTTCTGTTTATCAGGAAGTGGAGCTGAAGGCTATAGGAGGTTGGTAGCTTTCCCTGTTCAGTGACGTTGGAAGCAGCTAAACTTTTTTTTTTTTTGACAATATTTACTTTTTATGTCCCTTTTTGCCCCGCTATATGCTATAGGTTGTGCAGAAGCTGCCAGTGACTATAAATGGTTGTCTACAGACACATCTATTGTATCTGTGTCAGCTGTTGGTGTTGTCCAGGCCAGAAAGCCTGGTAAAGCTACTATTAAGGTGCTATCCATATATGATTCGTTAAATTATGATGAGGTAATGTTAATGGATAGTCCTGATCTCTTGTTTTGCTTTTTCCCCACAAATAACACGTAGTTCTGTTTGCCCTACACCAAATATATGTTCATTGATTTCTTTGCTAACTTCATATGTGAATTATGCTGTATGATATTGAATTCTTCCCAAATTCTGAGGTCAATTTTAATTTAGTCATACTATAGAAATTGAAAAGTAATCAAATATTGAGAGCCCTGTTAGTTTGAGATCTTGGAAAGTCAAATTACAATTTTCCACTGCGTTTAAGACTTTTGGATTGTATTATATATCAAATGGTTTTTTAAAAATTTAGGCTCCTGTTGAGTGTGATGTACTGTATTTTATTCTTTCAGTTCTGTTATAATCTCTCTCTCAGCATTGTGCATTGTTTCCCTAGCACCCGCTCTTGGTATCTATTTTATGATAAAATGTACTAGTCAGTCAAGAAACACACATTATTCACTAGTGGGTTAGAACTCAGCACCCAACCTTCACTCTATAATCTTATCCTTCTCTACAAAGGAGGTTATTTGAGGTCCAGAATAATTTTTTCCTGTAAAGGGGGCAAACAATAGATGAATGACATATTCCTTTGAGTTATATTTCATTTGAATTGCCATGGCAAAATTGTGTTAAGTTATATGCTACATTTATAAACCATTGCAACAATTAAAACATTCTTTCCTCAATCATGCAATATGATATTTGTTCGGGCACTATAACCCACACGTGCCTTTTCTATAGCCATTTCATTTTCTTTAATGCTGATCTCATAAGATTTTTGAGATCATGACTGTATATGATGCAGTTTGTTCTTTGCATTATCATGACTGAGGCATGATTTTTCATTTATGTAGTCAATAAGTTGATAGTAGGATGTTTTCACCTTTTGTAATTAGAAAATGTTTTAGAGAGATGTTTTCAGTATAAAATTCGTTGTCCCATTTGTGTGTGCTCAATTCATGCACACTATATTCAATATGTTCTTATTCAATTTATTTTTTATATCTGCACAAGCTGAATCATGGTTTTATTTCTTCATCTATACTTTTCTTCTAGGTGGTTGTTGATGTTACGGTCCCATCTGCTATGGTTATGGTTCATAATTTTCCTGTGGAAACTGTTGTTGGATCGCATCTTCAAGCTGCTGTCACAATGAAAGCATCAAACGGTGACACCATATGTCTGAAATTTGTTTTACACTTTTACTGCTTTGCATTTTTCTGATGTTGATTTGTCCATTCCAGGTGCCTATTTTACTAGATGTGATGCCTTTAGTTCTTTGATAAAGTGGAAGGCTGGAAGTGAGTCCTTTGTCATTGTCAATGCAATTCAGGAGTTGCCATACTCGGAAACATTGGGAAATAATCAGCTGCTTTCAACCACTGATTACTTTCCATGTTCCTGGGTCCATATTTATGCTTCAAGTCCTGGTCAAGCGATGATACATGCCACATTCTCTAAAGAATATCCCCAGTTTGACCACTCTTTCCACGGACCTATTGTCTTTAAGGCATCTTTACGTGTTGTGGCATATCTACCTCTTGTTGTATATCAGGCAAGTGATGGGAACCGATTTGGTGGTTACTGGTATGATGTGGCTCAAGAAGAAGCTAATAAGCAGCTAGATAACTTAGAGAAGTTATATCTTGTGCCTGGATCAAATTTAGATATATCGTTAAGTGGTGGACCTGAGCCATGGGGCAAAAATGTTGACTTCCTTGAAGATGTGGAAGTTTTGAATGAAGGTGATGCTCTGACTGAAGCTGGAGTTCTTGTGCATCGGGTATCTGCCAGAAGGAGTTTATACCGGGTTTTTTGTCAAACACTGGGAACTTATGTAAGGTTTTGTATTCTGTTCTTGCTAGATAATTTCCTAATTCATCTTTAATGTAGTTGTAATCATCACAGTAACCTTCTCTGGTTTAAATGACTCAGAAACTTCTTTTTAGACGTGGGAATTTGGTAGGGGATGACCATCCTCTTCCTTCTGTGTCTGAAGCTTGGCTGTCAGTTACATGCAGCATTCCTTCTTCGATTGTGCTTATAGCTGATGAACCAGGTTAAGTCTATTTTTTTATCCTAGTTGCAGTGATTGACAACATACACTTGAAAACTTTCCTCCCTATTCTTTTCTGAGAAAACTGTGCATTTCAGTGAATGAGCGTGATGTTATTAGAGCAGCAATTCTAGCTGATCGTAGTTCAGAGAAATTGCGTGATGTGCCTATTACTGTGGCAAATGGGCACACTATTCGGCTATCTGCTGTTGGAATCGATGATTCAGGGGAACCTTTTGCAAACTCATCTTCTCTCAGTTTGAGTTGGGGGCTTAACAGTTGTGATGGACTAGCATTATGGGATGATGCTTATGATATAGTGGAGCCCAACAGTTGGGAGAGATTTTTGGTCTTGCAAAATGAATCAGGACTGGTACTTAAAAAGTATTGAATTTGTCTTTTTATTTACTGCTTGAGGTATTACCTCAACTAGTTGTTTGTCAAACTTTTGGTCTTAATTTGAATGACTGGAGTGGCTTTCAAGAACATTGTCTCAAAATTTATTTATTTTGGCTTGCCTCAAAACGTTCAACTTGTTTATAGAAGCCCTACTTTTCTTAGTCGCATTGCTACTAATGCGATGATGAATTTAAGTTTAATATTCATCACTTTTGAGCTATAATTAGGGATTTTATTGGGGCTTTCCCTAGTGGATTTATAAAGGGATCTGAAATTTCTTTTTGAGCCTTTTCTTTATTTCTTTTTTCTTTTTGAAATCTTCTTTCCTTTTTTTTTTTGTTAAATCCTTTTTGTTCCTTTTTTTTTATTCTTCTTAAGCCGATGCTGATAATATTGGTTTATTAATGTATGGTTGACAATAGTGGCATTAAATTCTTTGTTTCTAGTGCATTGTTCGTGCAACTGTCACTGGCTTTCATGATAGGTTGCAAAGTAAAACCTTTCATCATTCTCCTGAATCTGAAATTATTCTGACAGATGCAGTTCGTCTACAGGTACTTTTTGCTGGAATTAATTGTTCTTCAAGCTGAGGCTTGTTCTTCACACATTTGATTAAAATCAATTATGAACAACTGCTTGTCATTATCATTGTCAATGTGCATTACTGCTGCTCATGTACATTATCATTTTGTTTGTTTTAAAATGTTAAATTTTATCTTGACGTTGTTCCAATGTTGCAGCTTGTTTCTAGCCTACGAATTGATCCAGAGTTCAGCTTGCTTTATTTCAATCCTGATGCCAAGGTAACACTAACATTTGTAGGCATATGCTATATTGCTTGACTTTAACCCATAGTAAGGCCCAAGCTTGTTTAATTGGCTGCACTATGGTGTTTCTCTTGACTAATTTGAGAACTATGTGGGTTAAATTTTAATGTGCAAGGTCAGAGCAGTATTCTATTATCATTTATTAGCTGATTTCATGCAGAAGAGGCTTATTTTCACACTGTATAACTTAATTGTTCCAAAATTATGCCACACCATGCTCTCAATGGCTGCACCAAATAAGGATTATCAAAATTTTGATGGAATTACCCGCATAATAAATTGAAAAATTATGGTATTTAGGGCTTTTTTAGGAGGATATCTTTACCTCATTCTCTCTTCTTCTTTGTTTATTGTAAAGAAAATGATTTTATTAAAGAAAAGAGGAGCAATACAACAAACGATGACAAGTAGTCCTCCCATAACAATCAAGATAAAGGAAAGGAAACAAAATTACAGACTCATAATCAAAAGAGCTTTCCAGTCCTTTTGTGGATCATGATGGAAAACTCCTTTTAAAAACCATAAACTCATCAGCTGTAAACCACAGCCAGGCCAAGAAAATAATCCGCTCCCAAAAAAGATGGGGCAGATGAAATGCTGATCAAACACTCCAGCATTCTGCTCTTATTAAAGACACTAAAACAAGAAAACCGCTAGACTTTCAAAAATTTTATGCTCCTTTTATCTCCCTAAATTCATGGACAAGATAGATTAAAGGGCTTGAAAATCAGCTGGACAAATTCATAATTGTTTCTCTTATAATTAAATATACTTTTTTTTTTTTTTAAATTACCTGATCTGATGCACTCAATTTTGTCAGCTCACACATGTAAATGTCTGATACCATTATTGTTACGTTAAACCAATAGAGATGAGTAAATTTATATGGGAGAAGTGCAGAAGAGCATGGGTAACTCTAAATAAAATTTAAATTTAATGCCTACTCTTTTGTCAGTGCTTGTAAAAAAAATCATTTATTAGAAATTGCCGAAATGTGTTTGAATACAAAAAAGATTGTAGTTAAAAGTAAGAACCCTTATTAGTATCAATGGCCGTGAGATATCTGATTGGCTATGGTTTGGGAGTATGGTTGTCAAGTCTTGAAGGGTGTATGTGAAATATTAGAATCATTTCTCTTCCCCAATGCCACTGTCCATCTTATTCAGGGTTATATGGATTAGTTACTTATATTTGCAATGCTAATATTTTCAAATGTTGTGTTCTTGGAATTCAGTTTTTATGTATCATATTTATTACTTAAAGCTTCTTTTCTATTTCATGTGCTCGCTTCCAGATAAATTTGTCAATTACTGGTGGAAGCTGTTTCTTGGAAGCTGTTACAAATGATTCTCAAGTGGTAGAACTTATCCAACCTCCATCAGGATTACAATGCTTACAACTAATTTTGTCCCCTAGAGGATTGGGGATAGCTAATCTGACTTTGTTTGACATTGGGTTAACACCTCCACTCACAGCTTCTGCACTTGTAAGTTTCGTTTCTGCAATTTGAATTGCTTGATAAATAAGGAAATTGTATGGTTTTCTATCTCTAGTCTATTTTTTCCAACCGGTTAAACGATAATATATTCTCTCTTTCTCTTACATTATGGCATGTCTGACTCTGAGTAATCATCCTGTTTCCCTGAAAGCCTACCATGCTCCTTAAAAACATCCAGCTCCAACTAATTCTGACTGAAATTAAGTTGTCTCATAGAGATAATATTTTATACATCTATCAATTTTATTATAAGAGGATTTTGCATACATGTTGTAGTAGTGGTAGTAGTAATCTTTTACAACAGTAAGAGCCAGAAAAAAATTCTTTTGTTTGGAAAGAGTGGATCATAGTTTGTTAGAAACCAACTGAATTAGAAATTAAAAATTCAAGATGAAAATGATTAGATTTATGTACTTTTATTTCTAAAATATTGCTGAATATTTCTTGTATTTCACAATTCTACTCGATAGAATATTTGTTACCAAAATATCTTCAATCATAATATAATATTAATTTAAATGATAGCCTGCTAGTATATTAAACCTTTTCTAAACTTTTATGCTGTAAATTTAGGAATTAATTTTTAATGAAAGAACATTATATAATAGACTTGTTTTGTATATATGATACAACTACAAACTTGACTAAATGGTTGCCAACGGCAAATGCAAGCACCATTGCTTAAACCTAGTGGTAGTACTTTGCTGCCGATTCCCATTCATGCTTGAGTCCAGGTATTTCCACTAAACTGGCCAGCTCAGTGAATCCTTGGGCCAGTTGGCTTGAGTGGACTAGAAGAAAACAGCTTGAGCTAATATGTTCACCAAACGCCAATCATCTAGCTGGAACAGTTAGTCTGTTTTTCAAACCTATGCATCTTTCCGCATGCTTATGAATCACAAATCTTAGTTTTGACTAGGCAAGCCCCCTTTTACATGATAAGAATGGGTAACTTTTGCATGATGTGATTTATGTATCTCTTGCTTATTACATAAATTGATAGTTGCAACTTGGCTCAGTGTGCAATTTTGCGGTGTGATAATATGTACTTTATTTGCTTAAATGACAACTTCAATAGGGACCAGATTAACAAAATTCAGCTGCATATGGTCGTATATCTAGTTTAGACTCTTTACTTTCAGGTTGAATCTTACCATTTTAAGAATTGACTGAGCCAGATTTAGTAAGAAAAACTATCACGTACCCTCTTAATGGTAAAATTTCAAGTTGTCTTTCAGTTTCGCAAAGGCAATGCCATCTCGTATTGTGTTAGTCAAGTGATGTCTTCTTTTGTGGAATTCTTAAGAGCCACTGAACCTTCAATTTTACAGGTCCAAGTTGCAGATATAGAGTGGATTAAAATTATATCAGGAGATAAGATTAGCCTAATGGTATGCCTTCTATAAAAGTTTTTTTCTCGCTTTTTTGGTCTAAATTTGCTACATCATGTGCCATTTTGATGTTTTCAGGAAGGAAGTTTACAGACAGTTGACCTATTGGTTGGTACTAATGATGGAAGGAGTTTTCATGGCTCTCAGGTTTAAATTGTTTCCTCCTATTTTAAAAAGCCACACTCAATTTCTTGTGCACGTTGTACATAGATATTATTGTTCTACAATGAAACTGGTCAATGGAGGCAGTTATCTTCTAAATTTTCTAGACCTTGATGACTCATGTATATGTCAGACTGAAGTCCGCACCCTGATATAAAACTGAATGATTTGGAACCTACGATGCAGATTGCTTACATGAAAATTAGGGTACACATTGAGGATCATATAATTGACCTCATGGATGATGGTGATTTCTCAAGTCTTGTTGATGGGTATGTTTCGGCAGCAAGTTTTAAAATCCAGGGAAGACTTCTTGGAATAACATCCCTTTATGTAAGTCCATTTTCTATCTCAGTCAATTTGATCTTTGTCTCAGTTCAAAGTAAGTTGAAAATTCAAATCTTGTTGATTATTCATGGAAACCAGGTCAGTTCCGTTCAGCATTCTGGACATGAGATACAGAGCCAAGCTGTTAAAGTGGAAGTCTATGCAACACCAAGAATCCACCCTCATAATATATTCCTCTTACCTGGTGCTTCTTATGTGGTATGTTTCAGATTGCAAGTACTTTGTATATTACCTTGAAATTCACAAGTTTGATTAAAGGATGTAATCATAGAAAAAAATTCATTGAGTAGTGTTCTTTTTAAGTTTATATTCTCAACATGTTGCGTTTTTTATGATGACATTTTATTAATTTATCTGCTTAGGTTACCATGAAAGGAGGCCCAACCCTTGGTGTACATGTTGAATTTGCAATTGAGGATGATAAAATTGCAAGTATCAATCGATATTCTGGACGGCTCTCAGCAATTTCAACAGGGAACACTGTAAGATGCAAAACCCTTCTCAACCTTAATCTTTTTTTTTTTGTTTTTGTGTGTGTGATAATGCATACTCTTTTTGTTTGAAGCTTAGTTTAGCTGATTGTCTTGCACAAGCCACTTGTGATGATACATTTTGATATGATAGATTGTGTACATTTTGATAGCATAGTTTAGCTGGTGCTTCAGTGCTTTGGATTTGAGGTTCACTTCGTAGCACACTGTTGATTTAGGAGGGTTTTCATTTTCAAGTTATAATATCAAGAGCTGAGTGAAAAATGATTATTGATAACTATAAGACTTCTAGACAATGATAAACTTCAAGATAATAATGAACTCCTAATATTTTAATAGTTCCTCTTAATTTATTGTGGGAATATTATGTCATTATTGTGAATAATTAGCATTCATTGTCATTATTAGGCTTTATTAGCATTTATTAGGTTTTACCTCACTTGATGTGTATATATAGCCTCAGTTTGTATATTAGAAAACACATTAATGACAAATATATTTTTCTCTCAAAATTCCACATGGTATCAGAGCATCAGGCTCAAAAATTCAAATTAGGTTAGTTCTAGAGTGGCTAGGATGAGACTTTCTGAACAGTACGTGAGGGCGTTTGTTTGGACAATGGTGGAGCGAGTTTTGAATCTCACCGCCACCTTAAACGTACTCAGGAGGCTCTGAACAGTGAAACCTAGGACGGTGATGGCGAACAGCAGTGCGTGTGGAGCACATGCGCCACCCTCGTGAACTGCGTCGGCAAGCTTCCGGTGGCGCGTGGTAGTGCAGTTCAGGATGCGATCTTCTCGGATGGCGGCGACGCACTCTCTCCGGCTAGATCTAGCACAATCCAATGTATGGGTACATCGTTTTCGAACCATATCAGGTCGTATGGTGTTGTTAGTGCCCTGTTTTGTTGGGTTTGGAGTTATATTGAGTTGTGGCTTTTGTTTTTAGTCTATTATGAAGCATTTCCCTTATTTGAAGTGCTATGTATACTCCTCATAGTGTCGTGTCTAATTTTTCCAAATCTGCACCTATAACATTAGTGGCAAAAACGGGTTCCTTTCTTCAAGCTTTAAGACAACTTGAAGTGCAGTGGCATGGATTGTGGATTCTAGGGTATCCGATCATATGACTAACTGTCATCAATTGTTCACCACTTATGCTTCGTGTGCTGGAAATGTTGAAGTAAAAATTGCAAATGGCTCCTTAGCACTTGTGGTGGGGAAAGGGAGTATCCATATGTCATATTCTATTGTTTTGGAATCTGTTCTCCATGTACCAAAACTTGATTGCACTTTGCTTTCAATCAGTTAATTAACTAGGCTGTCAAATTGTTTTGCTAGATTTCTCCCGTCTCATTGCTTGTTTCAGGACCTATCATTTGGTGCAACAATTGGCAGTGCCAAGGAATACGAGAGGCTCTATTATTTAGAGATCGTCATCGAGTGGATAACTCACCCATTGTCGGTAATTCTGTGTCTACCTCTTACATTGATAATTTTATGTTATGGCATAAGAGGATGGGTCTTCTTAATTTTTATTACCTTCAACAAGTGTTTCTAACCTTATGCACCAACCTGAATTATAGTGAAATTCAGTGTGAGGTGTGTGAACTTGCCAAACACCATCGAACTTCCTTTCCCAGAGCCAAATACACACCCACCAAACTTTTTACAATCATTCACAGTGACCATGGGGCCCATCTTGTACTCCAAATCGTACTCAAACAAAATGGTTATTTCCTTCATTGATGACCATACTCATATTTGTTGGGTTTATCTTTTAAAGAACAAGTCTGAGGCTGTATCCACGTTCATGAGTTTTTTCACCGTGATAAAAACCAATTCAATGCTAGCATTCAAGTCTTACACATGATAATGGTATTGAGTACTTTAACCAATCTTTGAGTCATTTCCTCCAAAATCATGGTATTATCCATACAAGTACTTGTGTCCATACCCCTCAACAAAATGGGATTGCAGAAAGGAAAAATAGACATATCTTGAAGTTGCAAGAGCACTCATGTTCACTTGCATTGTGCTAAAATTTTATTGGGGGATGCCATTTTAACTGTGACCTATCTCATCAATCAAATGCTCAGTCGAATCTTATCCTTTGAAACTCTTCTCCAAAAATTGCAAAGTGCTTTCCTACATCTCACATTGAAACCAAACTTCCACTTCGCATATTTGGTTGCACAGCCCTTGTTCATATCCACCAAAATAGTAAACTTGAACCTTGAGCTATCAAGTGCATCTGTCTTGGCTATTCTCCCACTCTGAAAGGATACAAATGTTTTGATCCTATGTCTAAACGCATCCTTGTAAACCTTGACATTACTTTCCACGAAGAAACTCCCTTTTATTCCGATTCTTCAATTCAGGGGGAGAGTATAGGTGAATCTCAGACTTGAGAACTAGCACCTTACACAGAATATGTGGTTTTTGAGCCCTCACCAAATCATTACTGAAGATATTTGAGGAGAAATTCTTATATTTTCACTGGACCCTTTCAAGGGAATATATACAGGTATGAAGACACAAATCTGGCCTTAAAACGAGGGATAGGCCGAGATACAAGGAAGGAAAAAAAAGGAAAAATCATCCTGACTAAATAAACATATATTTACACTATATAATTGATATTAATTGTAAGGACATTAGGATATCAACACTCTCCCTCAAGTTGGATCATAGATGTTAATCATGTCCAGCTTGCCTACAAAATGTTTAAACTTGTCTCGAGCTAATCCTTTTGTAAGAATATCGGCAGTTTGTTCTCTAGATGGGATATAGGACAATCGAATAACACCATCATCAATTTTTTCTCTGATAAAGTGCCGATCAATTTCAATATGCTTGGTTTTATCATGTTGAACAGGATTATGAGATATGTTAATGGCTGCCATATTATTTGAATATAGTTTAATTGGTAGATTCATGCTTTGCTTTAACTCCTCTAAGACTCGCTTGAGCCAAATTCCCTCACAAATTCCAAGAGCAATTGCTCTGAATTCTCCCTCAGCACTACTCCTTACAACAACACTTTGCTTCTTACTTCTATAGGTTACAAGATTGCCCCACACAAATGTGCAGTAACCTGAAGTAGACTTTCGGTCATCTTGATCACCTGCCCAATTAGCATCTGTAAACAACTCCACATTTCTTTTATTAGATTTTTTAAACCACAGTCGATGACCAGGTGAACCTTTCAGATAGCGAAGGATTCTATAAACTTCATTTAGGTGTTTCTGCTTCGGATCATGTGAGTGTTGACTAATCACACTTACAACAAATGCAATGTCTGGCCTGGTGTGAGAAAGATATATCAACTTTCCTACCATACGTTGATATCTTCCCTTATCAACGTCTTCCCAAGATCTTCATCTTGACTGATCTTATCTACTCTGATGAGAGTATCACTTGGTCTGCATCCCAACATGCCTGTCTCCTTTAAGAGATCCAGAACATACTTCCTTTGAGAGATGTAAATCCCCTTCTTTGATCGGGCTACTTCCATCCCGAGGAAGTATTTCATTTCTCCGAGATCTTTTATCTGGAACTCTTGGGCTAATGCAGTTTTAATATGGTCAATTTCAGTTGTGTCATCTCCAGTGAGAACAATATCATCAATGTAGACAGCTAGAACTGTCATTTTTCCCTTTCTGTGTTTGTAGAACATAGTATGATCACTCTGTCCCTGAGAGAACCCTTGCCTCTTCAACACCTTGGTAAAGCGTTCAAACCATGCTCGAGGTGATTGTTTTAATCCATACAGTGACTTCTTCAGCATGCATACTTGGTTTGATTTCTTCCTTGGAAACCCTAAAGGCATTTTTATATATACCTCTTCCTTTTTAACCATTCAAAAATGCATTCTTAACATCTAACTGATGTAATGACCTGTCATGATTTGCAGCTAATGACAATAGAATTCTAATAGTATTTAACTTTGCTACTGGTGAAAATGTTTCTGTGTAATCCATCCCATATACTTGTGAGGAGCCTTTTGCAACAAGTCTAGCCTTATATTTTTCCAAGCTTCTATTAGCTAGATATTTAGGAGTGAAGACCCACTTACAACCAACAGGCCTTTTTCCTTTAGGGAGATCAACTACTACCCAGGTGTTATTTCGCTCAAGGGCCTCCATTTCTTCTAGAATTGCTTTCCTCCATTCAGGCATGACTAGAGCTTCATCAATGTTATTTGGTACCTTGATACTATCAAGGTGGGCAACAAATGCACAATATTTTGAGGAAAGTGCCTAATAGGAAACGAATTTTTCTATGGGACATCGTGTGCAAGCTCTAGGCTTCTTTCTGATTGCAATAAGGAGATCCAGGTCTTCTATTTCTTCTTTCTGTTCATTGCTATAACTAAAACCTTGTTTCTCCGTTGGACCTGCTGCTGGTTCTGACTCTTGGTGAGTGCTAGGGCTTTCGGGCACAATACCTGTCTTGTGTCTTCGTGTATAGAACTTGTCAAATTTCCTGGCAGTCTCTACCCCTGGGTCAGACTTTTTTGTTTCATTTGGCCTTTCCCCACTCACTATTAGTATCTTGGGGGGTATTAGTATCTTGGGGGGCAAGTTCCACAGACAACAAGTCAGGTTCAGGTTCATTTGTGGGCTGAAATTCACTCCAACTCTCCCCCTGAATTGAAGACTCATGGTAATAGGGGACTTCTTCGTGAAAGGTAACATCACAAGTAATATACAGACGTTTTGCAGTAGAATCAAAGCATTTATACCCTTTTTGAGAGGCAGAGTAACAGAGGAAGACACACCTAACAGCTCGGGGGTCAAGTTTGTTACTATGATGTAGGTGGACATAGGAAGTACAACCAAACACACGTAGGGGAAGGTTATTTGTGAGATAGGGTAGGTTATAAGTGGCACAAAGAAGCTGTAACGGAGTTTTATAAGATAGCGTTCTACTTGGTAGACGATTTATAAGGTAAGTGGCAGTGAGGATAGCATCATCCCGGTGATATTT